CACCGACCCCATCTCCAGCACTCATGAGCACCGACCCCATCTCCAGCACTCATGAGCACCGACCCCATCTCCAGCACTCATGAGCCACCGACCCCATCTCCAGCACTCATGAGCACCGACCCCATCTCCAGCACTCATGAGCACCGACCCCATCTCCAGCACTCAGAGCACCGACCCCATCTCCAGCACTCATGAGCACGACCCCATCCTCCAGCACTCATGAGCACCGACCCCAATCTCCAGCACTCATGAGCACCGACCCCATCTCCAGCACTCATGAGCACCGACCCCATCTCCAGCACTCATGAGCACCGACCCCATCTCCAGCACTCATGAGCACCGACCCCATCTCCAGCACTCATGAGCACCGACCCCATCTCCAGCACTCATGAGCACCGACCCCATCTCCAGCACTCATGAGCACCGACCCCATCTCCAGCACTCATGAGCACCGACCCCATCTCCAGCACTCATGAGCACCGACCCCATCTCCAGCACTCATGAGCACCGACCCCATCTCCAGCACTCATGAGCACCGACCCCATCTCCAGCACTCATGAGCACCGACCCCATCTCCAGCACTCATGAGCACCGACCCCATCTCAGCACTCATGAGCACCGACCCCATCTCCAGCACTCATGAGCACCGACCCCATCTCCAGCACTCATGAGCACCGACCCCATCTCCAGCACTCATGAGCACCGACCCCATCTCCAGCACTCATGAGCAACCGACCCCATCTCCAGCACTCATGAGCACCGACCCCATCTCCAGCACTCATGAGCACCGACCCCATCTCCAGCACTCATGAGCACCGACCCCATCTCCAGCACTCATGAGCACCGACCCCATCTCCAGCACTCATGAGCACCGACCCCATCTCCAGCACTCATGAGCACCGACCCCATCTCCAGCACTCATGAGCACCGACCCCATCTCCAGCACTCATGAGCCACCGACCACCATCTCCAGCACTCATGAGCACCGACCCCATCTCCAGCACTCATGAGCACCGACCCCATCTCCAGCACTCATGAGCACCGACCCCATCTCCAGCACTCATGAGCACCGACCCCATCTCCAGCACTCATGAGCACCGACCCCATCTCCAGCACTCATGAGCACCGACCCCATCTCCAGCACTCATGAGCACCGACCCCATCTCCAGCACTCATGAGCACCGACCCCATCTCCAGCACTCATGAGCACCGACCCCATCTCCAGCACTCATTGAGCACCGACCCCACTCCAGCACTCATGAGCACCGACCCATCTCCAGCACTCATGAGCACCGACCCATCTCCAGCACTCATGAGCACCGACCCCATCTCCAGCACTCATGAGCACCGACCCCATCTCCAGCACTCATGAGCACCGACCCCATCTCCAGCACTCATGAGCACCGACCCCATCTCCAGCACTCATGAGCACCGACCCCATCTCCAGCACTCATGAGCACCGACCCCATCTCCAGCACTCATGAGCACCGACCCCATCTCCAGCACTCATGAGCACCGACCCCATCTCCAGCACTCATGAGCACCGACCCCATCTCCAGCACTCATGAGCACCGACCCCATCTCCAGCACTCATGAGCACCGACCCCATCTCCAGCACTCATGAGCACCGACCCCATCTCCAGCACTCATGAGCACCGACCCCATCTCCAGCACTCATGAGCACCGACCCCATCTCCAGCCTCATGAGCACCGAACCCCATCTCCAGCACTCATGAGCACCGAACCCCATCTCCAGCACTCATGAGCACCGACCCCATCTCCAGCACTCATGAGCACCGACCCCATCTCCAGCACTCATGAGCACCAACCCCATCTCCAGCACTCATGAGCACAGACCCATCTCCAGCACTCATGAGCACCGACCCCATCTCCAGCACTCATGAGCACCGACCCCATCTCCAGCACTCATGAGCACCGACCCCATCTCCAGCACTCATGAGCACCGACCCCATCTCCAGCACTCATGAGCACCGACCCCATCTCCAGCACTCATGAGCACCGACCCCATCTCCAGCCTCATGAGCACCTCCATCTCCGAGCACTCATGAGCACCGGACCCCATCTCCAGCACTCATGAGCACCGACCCCATCTCCAGCACTCATGAGCACCGACCCCATCTCCCCAGCACTCATGAGCACCGACCCATCTCCAGCACTCATGAGCACCGACCCCATCTCCAGCACTCATGAGCACCGACCCCATCTCCAGCACTCATGAGCACCGACCCCATCTCCAGCACTCATGAGCACCGACCCCATCTCCAGCACTCATGAGCACCGACCCCATCTCCAGCACTCATGAGCACCGACCCCATCTCCCAGCACTCATGAGCACCAGACCCCATCTCCAGCACTCATGAGCACCAACCCCATCTCCAGCACTCATGAGCACCAACCCCATCTCCAGCACTCATGAGCACCAACCCCATCTCCAGCACTCCATGAGCACCAACCCCATCTCCAGCACTCATGAGCACCAACCCCATCTCCAGCACTCATGAGCACCAACCCCATCTCCAGCACTCATGAGCACCAACCCCATCTCCAGCACTCGTGAGCACCAACCCCATCTCCAAGCACTCGTGAGCACCAACCCCATCTCCAGCACTCGTGAGCACCAACCCCATCTCCAGCACTCGTGAGCACCAACCCCATCTCCAGCACTCGTGAGCACCAACCCCATCTCCAGCACTCGTGAGCACCAACCCCATCTCCAGCACTCGTGAGCACCAACCCCATCTCCAGCACTCGTGAGCACCAACCCCTATCTCCAGCACTCGTGAGCACCAACCCCATCTCCAGCACTCGTGAGCACCAACCCCATCTCCAGCACTCGTGAGCACCAACCCAATCTCCAGCACTCGTGAGCACCAACCCCCATCTCCAGCACTCGTGAGCACCAACCCCATCTCCAGCACTCGTGAGCACCAACCCCATCTCCAGCACTCGTGAGCACCAACCCCATCTCCAGCACTCGTGAGCACCAACCCCATCCTGAACACCAACCCCATCTCCAGCACTCGTGAGCACCAACCCCATCTCCAGCACTCGTGAACACCAACCCATCTCCGCACTCATGAGCAACCAACCCCATCTCCAGCACTCATGAGCACCAACCCCATCTCCAGCACTCAGGAGCACCAACCCCATCTCCAGCACCAACGAGCACCAACCCCATCTCCAGCACTCATGAGCACCAACCCCATCTCCAGCACTCATGAGCACCAACCCCATCTCCAGCACTCATGAGCACCAACCCCATCTCCAGCACTCATGAGCACCAACCCCATCTCCAGCACTCAGGAGCACCAACCCCATCTCCAGCACTCATGAGCACCAACCCCATCTCCAGCACTCATGAGCACCAACCCCATCTCCAGCACTCATGAGCACCAACCCCATCTCCAGCACTCATGAGCACCAACCCATCTCCAGCACTCATGAGCACCAACCCCATCTCCAGCACTCATGAGCACCAACCCCATCTCCAGCACTCATGAGCACCAACCCCATCTCCAGCACTCATGAGCACCAACCCCATCTCCAGCACTCATGAGCACCAACCCCATCTCCAGCACTCATGAGCACCAACCCCATCTCCAGCACTCATGAGCACCAACCCCATCTCCAGCACTCATGAGCACCAACCCCATCTCCAGCACTCATGAGCACCAACCCCATCTCCAGCACTCATGAGCACCAACCCCATCTCCAGCACTCATGAGCACCAACCCCATCTCCAGCACTCATGAGCACCAACCCCATCTCCAGCACTCATGAGCACCAACCCCATCTCCAGCACTCATGAGCACCAACCCCATCTCCAGCACTCATGAGCACCAACCCCATCTCCAGCACTCATGAGCACCAACCCCATCTCCAGCACTCATGAGCACCAACCCCATCTCCAGCACTCATGAGCACCAACCCCATCTCCAGCACTCATGAGCACCAACCCCATCTCCAGCACTCATGAGCCAACCCATCTCCAGCACTCATGAGCACCAACCCCATCTCCAGCACTCATGAGCACCAACCCCATCTCCAGCACTCATGAGCACCAACCCCATCTCCAGCACTCATGAGCACCAACCCCATCTCCAGCACTCATGAGCACCAACCCCATCTCCAGCACTCATGAGCACCAACCCCATCTCCAGCACTCATGAGCACCAACCCCATCTCCAGCACTCATGAGCACCAACCCCATCTCCAGCACTCATGAGCACCAACCCCATCTCCAGCACTCATGAGCACCAACCCCATCTCCAGCACTCATGAGCACCAACCCATCTCCAGCACTCATGAGCACCAACCCCATCTCCAGCACTCATGAGCACCAACCCCATCTCCAGCACTCATGAGCACCAACCCCATCTCCAGCACTCATGAGCACCAACCCCATCTCCAGCACTCATGAGCACCGACCCCATCTCCAGCACTCATGAGCACCGACCCCATCTCCAGCACTCATGAGCACCGACCCCATCTCCAGCACTCATGAGCACCGACCCCATCTCCAGCAACTCATGAGCACCGACCCCATCTCCAGCACTCATGAGCACCGACACCCATCTCCAGCACTCATGAGCACCACCCCCATCTCCAGCACTCATGAGCACCGACCCCATCTCCAGCACTCATGAGCACCGACCCCATCTCCAGCACTCATGAGCACCGACCCCATCTCCAGCACTCATGAGCACCGACCCCATCTCCAGCACTCATGAGCACCGACCCCATCTCCAGCACTCATGAGCACCGACCCCATCTCCAGCACTCATGAGCACCGACCCCATCTCCAGCACTCATGAGCACCGACCCCATCTCCAGCACTTCACCTGAGCACCGACCCCATCTCCAGCACTCATGAGCACCGACCCATCTCCGAGCACTCATGAGCACACGACCCCATCTCCAGCACTCATGAGCACCGACCCCTCTCCAGCACTCATGAGCACCGACCCCATCTCCAGCACTCATGAGCACCGACCCCATCTCCAGCACTCATGAGCACCGACCCCATCTCCAGCACTCATGAGCACCGAACCCCATCTCCAGCACTCATGACCGACCCCATCTCCAGCCCTCATGAGCCCGACCCCATCTCCAGCACTCATGAGCACCGACCCATCTCCAGCACTCATGAGCACCGACCCCCATCTCCAGCATCATCATGAGCACCGACCCATCTCCAGCACTCATGAGCACCGACCCCATCTCCAGCACTCATGAGCACCGACCCCATCTCCAGCACTCATGAGCACCGACCCCATCTCCAGCACTCATGAGCACCGACACCATATCCAGCACTCATGAGCACCGACCCCAATCTCCACAGCACTCATGAGCACCGACCCATCTCCAGCACTCATGAGCACCGACCCCCATCTCCAGCACTCATGAGCACCGACCCCATCTCCAGCACTCATGAGCACCGACCCAATCTCCAGCAACTCATGAGCACCGACCCCATCTCCAGCACTCTGAGCACCGACCCCATCTCCAGCACTCATGAGCACCGACCCCATCTCCAGCACTCATGAGCACCGACCCCATCTCCAGCACTCATGAGCACCGACCCCATCTCCAGCACTCATGAGCACCGACCCCATCTCCAGCACTCATGAGCCACCGACCCCATCTCCAGCACTCATGAGCACCGACCCCATCTCCAGCACTCATGAGCACCGACCCATCTCCAGCACTCATGAGCACCGACCCCATCTCCAGCACTCATGAGCACCGACCCCATCTCCAGCACTCATGAGCACCGACCCATCTCCAGCACTCATGAGCACCGACCCCATCTCCAGCACTCATGAGCAACCGACCCCATCTCCAGCACTCATGAGCACGACCCCATCTCCAGCACTCATGAGCACCGACCCCATCTCCAGCACTCATGAGCACCGACCCCATCTCCAGCACTCATGAGCACCGACCCCATCTCCAGCACTCATGAGCACCGACCCCATCTCCAGCACTCATGAGCACCGGACCCCATCTCCAGCACTCATGAGCACCGACCCCATCCCAGCACTCATGAGCACCGACCCATCTCCAGCACTCATGAGCACCGACCCCATCTCCAGCACTCATGAGCACCCGACCCCCATCCTCCAGCACTCATGAAGCACCGACCCCATCTCCAGCACTCATGAGCACCGACCCCATCTCCCAGCACTCATGAGCACCGACCCATCTCCAGCACTCATGAGCACCGACCCCATCTCCAGCACTCATGAGCACCGACCCCATCTCCAGCACTCATGAGCACCGACCCCATCTCCAGCACTCATGAGCACCGAACCCCATCTCCAGCACTCATGAGCACCAACCCCATCTCCAGCATCATGAGCATCAGACCCCATCTCCAGCACTCATGAGCACCGACCCCATCTCCAGCACTCATGAGCACCGACCCCATCTCCAGCACTCATGAAGCACCGACCCCATCTCCAGCACTCATGAGCACCGACCCCATCTCCAGCACTCATGAGCACCGACCCCATCTCCAGCACTCATGAGCACCGACCCCATCTCCAGCACTCATGAGCACCGACCCCATCTCCAGCACTCATGAGCACCGACCCCATCTCCAGCACTCATGAGCACCGACCCCATCTCCAGCACTCATGAGCACCGACCCCATCTCCAGCACTCATGAGCACCGACCCCATCTCCAGCACTCATGAGCACCAACCCCATCTCCAGCACTCATGAGCACCAACCCCATCTCCAGCACTCATGAGCACCAACCCCATCTCCAGCACTCATGAGCACCAACCCCATCTCCAGCACTCATGAGCACCAACCCCATCTCCAGCACTCATGAGCACCGACCCCATCTCCAGCACTCATGAGCACCGACCCCATCTCCAGCACTCATGAGCACCAACCCCATCTCCAGCACTCATGAGCACCGACCCCATCTCCAGCACTCATGAGCACCGACCCCATCTCCAGCACTCATGAGCACCGACCCCATCTCCAGCACTCATGAGCACCGACCCCATCTCCAGCACTCATGAGCACCGACCCCATCTCCAGCACTCATGAGCACCGACCCCATCTCCAGCACTCATGAGCACCGACCCCATCTCCAGCACTCATGAGCACCGACCCCATCTCCAGCACTCATGAGCACCGACCCCATCTCCAGCACTCATGAGCACCGACCCCATCTCCAGCACTCATGAGCACCGACCCCATCTCCAGCACTCATGAGCACCGACCCCATCTCCAGCACTCATGAGCACCGACCCCATCTCCAGCACTCATGAGCACCGACCCCATCTCCAGCACTCATGAGCACCGACCCCATCTCCAGCACTCATGAGCACCGACCCCATCTCCAGCACTCATGAGCACCGACCCCATCTCCAGCACTCATGAGCACCGACCCCATCTCCAGCACTCATGAGCACCGACCCCATCTCCAGCACTCATGAGCACCGACCCCATCTCCAGCACTCATGAGCACCGACCCCATCTCCAGCACTCATGAGCACCGACCCCATCTCCAGCACTCATGAGCACCGACCCCATCTCCAGCACTCATGAGCACCGACCCCATCTCCAGCACTCATGAGCACCGACCCCCATCTCCAGCACTCATGAGCACCGACCCCATCTCCAGCACTCATGAGCACCGACCCCATTCCAGCACTCATGAGCACCGACCCCATCTCCAGCACTCATGAGCACCGAACCCCATCTCCCAGCACTCATGAGCACCGACCCCATCTCCAGCACTCATGAGCACCGAACCCCATCTCCAGCACTCATGAGAGCACCGACCCCATCTCCAGCACTCATGAGCACCGACCCCCATCTCCAGCACTCATGAGCACCGACCCCATCTCCAGCACTCATGAGCACCGACCCCATCTCCAGCACTCATGAGCACCGACCCCATCTCCAGCACTCATGAGCACCGACCCCATCTCCAGCACTCATGAGCACCGACCCATCTCCAGCACTCATGAGCCACGACCCATCTCCAGCACTCATAGCACGACCCCATCTCCAGCACTCATGAGCACCGACCCCCATCTCCAGCACTCATGAGCACCGACCCCATCTCCAGCACTCATGAGCACCGACCCCATCTCCAGCACTCATGAGCACCGACCCCATCTCCAGCACTCATGAGCACCGACCCCATCTCCAGCACTCATGAGCACCGACCCCATCTCCAGCACTCATGAGCACCGACCCCATCTCCAGCACTCATGAGCACCGACCCCATCTCCAGCACTCATGAGCACCGACCCCATCTCCAGCACTCATGAGCACCGACCCCATCTCCAGCACTCATGAGCACCGACCCCATCTCCAGCACTCATGAGCACCGACCCCATCTCCAGCACTCATGAGCACCGACCCCATCTCCAGCACTCATGAGCACCGACCCCATCTCCAGCACTCATGAGCACCGACCCCATCTCCAGCACTCATGAGCACCGACCCCATCTCCAGCACTCATGAGCACCGACCCCATCTCCAGCACTCATGAGCACCGACCCCATCTCCAGCACTCATGAGCACCGACCCCATCTCCAGCACTCATGAGCACCGACCCCATCTCCAGCACTCATGAGCACCGACCCCATCTCCAGCACTCATGAGCACCGACCCCATCTCCAGCACTCATGAGCACCGACCCCATCTCCAGCACTCATGAGCACCGACCCCATCTCCAGCACTCATGAGCACCGACCCCATCTCCAGCACTCATGAGCACCGACCCCATCTCCAGCACTCATGAGCACCGACCCCATCTCCAGCACTCATGAGCACCGACCCCATCTCCAGCACTCATGAGCACCGACCCCATCTCCAGCACTCATGAGCACCGACCCCATCTCCAGCACTCATGAGCACCAACCCCATCTCCAGCACTCATGAGCACCGACCCCATCTCCAGCACTCATGAGCACCGACCCCATCTCCAGCACTCATGAGCACCGACCCCATCTCCAGCACTCATGAGCACCGACCCCATCTCCAGCACTCATGAGCACCAACCCCATCTCCAGCACTCATGAGCACCAACCCCATCTCCAGCACTCATGAGCACCAACCCCATTCTCCAGCCACTCATTGAGCACCCAACCCCAATCTCCCAGCACTAGCATGAGCACCAACCCCCATCTCCGAGCACTCCTGAGCACCGACCCCATCTCCAGCCACTCATGAGCACCGACACCCCATGCATCCAGCACTCATGAGCACCGACCCCATCTCCCGCACTCATGAGCACCGAACCCCATCTCCAGCACTCATGACACCGAACCCAATCTCCAGCACTCCATGATGCACCGACCCCCCCATCTCCAGACACTTCATGAAGCACGACCCCATCTCCAGCACTCATGAGCACGACCCCATCTTCCAGCACTCATGAGCACCGACCCCATCTCCAGCACTCATGAGCACCGACCCCATCTCCCGCACTCATGAGCACCGACCCCATCTCCAGCACTCATGAGCACCGACCCCATCTCCAGCACTCATGAGCACCGACCCCATCTCCAGCACTCATGCAGCACCGACCCATCTCCAGCACTCATGAGCACCGACCCCCATCTCCAGCACTCATGAGCACCGACCCCATCTCCAGCACTCATGAGCACCGACCCCATCTCCAGCACTCATGAGCACCGACCCCATCTCCAGCACTCATGAGCACCGACCCCATCTCCAGCACTCATGAGCACCGACCCCATCTCCAGCACTCATGAGCACCGACCCCATCTCCAGCACTCATGAGCACCGACCCCATCTCCAGCACTCATGAGCACCGACCCCATCTCCAGCACTCATGAGCACCGACCCCATCTCCAGCACTCATGAGCACCGACCCCATCTCCAGCACTCATGAGCACCGACCCCATCTCCAGCACTCATGAGCACCGACCCCATCTCCAGCACTCATGAGCACCGACCCCATCTCCAGCACTCATGAGCACCGACCCCATCTCCAGCACTCATGAGCACCGACCCCATCTCCAGCACTCATGAGCACCGACCCCATCTCCAGCACTCATGAGCACCGACCCCATCTCCAGCACTCATGAGCACCGACCCCATCTCCAGCACTCATGAGCACCGACCCCATCTCCAGCACTCATGAGCACCGACCCCATCTCCAGCACTCATGAGCACCGACCCCATCTCCAGCACTCATGAGCACCGACCCCATCTCCAGCACTCATGAGCACCGACCCCATCTCCAGCACTCATGAGCACCGACCCCATCTCCAGCACTCATGAGCACCGACCCCATCTCCAGCACTCATGAGCACCGACCCCATCTCCAGCACTCATGAGCACCGACCCCATCTCCAGCACTCATGAGCACCGACCCCATCTCCAGCACTCATGAGCACCGACCCCATCTCCAGCACTCATGAGCACCGACCCCATCTCCAGCACTCATGAGCACCAACCCCATCTCCAGCACTCATGAGCACCACCCCATCTCCAGCACTCATGAGCACCAACCCCATCTCCAGCACTCATGAGCACCAACCCCATCTCCAGCACTCATGAGCACCAACCCCATCTCCAGCACTCATGAGCACCAACCCCATCTCCAGCACTCATGAGCACCAACCCCATCTCCAGCACTCATGAGCACCAACCCCATCTCCAGCACTCATGAGCACCAACCCCATCTCCAGCACTCATGAGCACCAACCCCATCTCCAGCACTCATGAGCACCAACCCATAAGCCCAACCATCTCCAGCACTCATGAGCACCAACCCCATCTCCAGCACTCATGAGCACCAACCCCATCTCCAGCACTCATGAGCACCAACCCCATCTCCAGCACTCATGAGCACCAACCCCATCTCCAGCACTCATGAGCACCAACCCCATCTCCAGCACTCATGAGCACCAACCCCATCTCCAGCACTCATGAGCACCAACCCCATCTCCAGCACTCATGAGCACCAACCCCATCTCCAGCACTCATGAGCACCAACCCCATCTCCAGCACTCATGAGCACCAACCCCATCTCCAGCACTCATGAGCACCAACCCCATCTCCAGCACTCATGAGCACCAACCCCATCTCCAGCACTCATGAGCACCAACCCCATCTCCAGCACTCATGAGCACCAACCCCATCTCCAGCACTCATGAGCACCAACCCCATCTCCAGCCCTCATGAGCACCAACCCCATCTCCAGCACTCATGAGCACCAACCCCATCTCCAGCACTCATGAGCACCAACCCCATCTCCAGCACTCATGAGCACCAACCCCCATCTCCAGCACTCATGAGCACCAACCCCATCTCCAGCACTCATGAGCACCAACCCCATCTCCAGCACTCATGAGCACCAACCCCATCTCCAGCACTCATGAGCACCAACCCCATCTCCAGCACTCATGAGCACCAACCCCATCTCCAGCACTCATGAGCACCAACCCCATCTCCAGCACTCATGAGCACCAACCCCATCTCCAGCACTCATGAGCACCAACCCCATCTCCAGCACTCATGAGCACCAACCCCATCTCCAGCACTCATGAGCACCAACCCCATCTCCAGCACTCATGAGCACCAACCCCATCTCCAGCACTCATGAGCACCAACCCCATCTCCAGCACTCATGAGCACCAACCCCATCTCCAGCACTCATGAGCACCAACCCCATCTCCAGCACTCATGAGCACCAACCCCATCTCCAGCACTCATGAGCACCAACCCCACATCCTCTCCAGCACTCATGAGCACCAACCCCATCTCCAGCACTCATGAGCACCAACCCCATCTCCAGCACTCATGAGCACCAACCCCATCTCAGCACTCATGAGCACCAACCACCACTCAGCACTCATGAGCACCAACCCCATCTCCAGCACTCATGAGCACCAACCCCCATCTCCAGCACTCATGAGCACCAACCCCATCTCCAGCACTCATGAGCACCAACCCCATCTCCAGCACTCATGAGCACCAACCCCATCTCCAGCACTCATGAGCACCAACCCCATCTCCAGCACTCATGAGCACCAACCCCATCTCCAGCACTCATGAGCACCAACCCCATCTCCAGCACTCATGAGCACCAACCCCATCTCCAGCACTCATGAGCACCGACCCCATCTCCAGCACTCATGAGCACCAACCCCATCTCCAGCACTCATGAGCACCGACCCCATCTCCAGCACTCATGAGCACCAACCCCATCTCCAGCACTCATGCGCACCAACCCCATCTCCAGCACTCATGAGCACCGACCCCATCTCCAGCACTCATGAGCACCCACCCCATCTCCAGCACTCATGAGCACCGACCCCATCTCCAGCACTCATGAGCACCGACCCCATCTCCAGCACTCATTGAGCACCGACCCCATCTCCAGCACTCATGAGCACCGACCCCATCTCCAGCACTCATGAGCACCGACCCCATCTCCAGCACTCATGAGCACCGACCCCATCTCCAGCACTCATGAGCACCGGCCCCATCTCCAGCACTCATGAGCACCAACCCCATCTCCAGCACTCATGAGCACCGGCCCCATCTCCAGCACTCATGAGCACCAACCCCATCTCCAGCACTCATGAGCACCAACCCCATCTCCAGCACTCATGAGCACCAACCCCATCTCCAGCACTCATGAGCACCAACCCCATCTCCAGCACTCATGAGCACCAACCCCATCTCCAGCACTCATGAGCACCAACCCCATCTCCAGCACTCATGAGCACCGAACCCCATCTCCAGCACTCATGAGCACCAACCCCATCTCCAGCACTCATGAGCACCAACCCCATCTCCAGCACTCATGAGCACCGACCCCATCTCCAGCACTCATGAGCACCAACCCCATCTCCAGCACTCATGAGCAC